AGGAGGGTGAGGGATGAGACAAGACTTAGCAGGCCCTGTGTAAATGGAGTTCTTAATTGATCTAGATAATAAAAACCTGGAGTCAGATATAGATGGAAATGCTGAGAGATCAGAGAGAAGGGGAAAGCCACAGTGCAGCTTATCTCCTTAGTGTCTCAGCAAACAAGAGAGCGATTTTCTGTTTCTTCCTGCTCATATCCAGTTTCTGTCCAGCTACCTCACTTCCTGTCTGTCTATTCAGACCTCCAGACCTCTATGGTAGCTAGCTCCTAACACCATTCTCTGACCCTCAGACAACTTTTATTAGTGCAAGTAGATGTCACCACAGCACTACATAAAGCAGGTTCTCTGCTAGTGAGGACAGGGACCAAGCCCACATAACCCAGACATGCCTTAAGAGTCCATGCTTTTATACCTCCTCATTGAGAGTCAAGCTGTTAACATAGAGACTTCAGGGACCTAGACCTGCTGACATTGTCTCCAAAATGAAAATTGAACAAACAAAGGAAGTCTGTCTGCTGACGGAGGGTCTCCCACAAGAGTTCGATACTACTACAGTGATGAGTACAATGCCAAGCTTCTGGCAGAGGTGAGATGCTCTGTCAGGGGCATAGGTGGTGGTAGGAGACAGGAAACATACCTTTTCTAAGCCAGAATGGTGGGGTAGGAAGCCTTGAGCAAGGAGACAAGATCCAAGACTGCTAAAAGGAAAACTGGAAGGAGATGTGCTGCCCTCACCAGCTTCCCACAGCTTCTACTCTATAGACAATGCATTGATCTCAGGCATTGTTGGCTCCCTGGAGAAACACATCTAGCAATGTAGACAACAGGACGTGTTCAGAAGGGACAAATTGGAGACCCATTATCTACCTGACTTTTTAAAGGCCTTGGGAAGTCCTCCATAGACACTTGTGAACTGAGTTTACTTCAGCATTTCTATGGTAGGCCTCAGCCTGCTCATTTTTTTTTCTTTTCTTTTCTTTTTTTTAGAAGATACCTATCAACATCTCAGACAGTTAAATATTCTGAACATTTTTGAGAAATGTCCAATATCTGAAATTTCAGAATTTCAGCACATTCTCTCTCTCTCTCTCTCTCTCTCTCTCTCTCTCAAACACACACACACACACACACACACACACACATACAAATGCCCAACACATTTTGAATATATATTCTAGATTAAATGCTGAACAAATTGGAAAATGGACAGCATTCCCTTTTCATTGTCTAGCTTGGTGTGTTCCACACCAATCTGAAAAGCTTTTAAGCACATTGGTGTCTGGTCTCTGTCCCAATTTAATGGGTTCAGGGTCAGATCCAGACATCAGCATCAGCCTCTTCCACAAAGCTCTCAGTTAATTCTAGTGACCAGCTAGGGTAACTGTCCCCACTGTGAGACACCCGGAGCTCTGGCTTCTACTTAGTCAGCTTTAATCAACCCTTCCCTTCATGCACTGTCTAGTTTGCTCCAGATAGATTTCACTGAGCAGTAAAAATGAAGGGAGAACAGTTGGTGAAAATTTACTCAAGAAATTAAGTTTGTCATTAATAGAAATGATGGACCATCTGGATAAGCAGTGAGGTTCTGTTGCTGAAAAGAGATTTCAAGGAACACTTCACTTTTATTATTAAACCTGTTAGTTCACTTAATGTACAAAGCAGGTGGTTTAATGAGAGCAGTAGCCATACTAATTAAATGCTGGTCACTGGAAAGTGGCGCACCTCACTGCTCCTGCATTCTCTAGAAAGAAAACAGATACACAAGCTCCCACAGGAGGGGTGACATAAGCAAATTTTATTGTTAATATGAGAGGTAGAGAGTTATATATAGAAAATATCAAATACAGTATTAATAAATACAATTACATCAAAATAGATATAAACATGTATATTCATGAACATATATTAATCAGTATAAGTACATTTAAAACAAGATGCAGATCTGATATATTGACAGCCATACAATAATAACAAAAATTCTTAGTTCTAGATAGAAAACCAATGCCTCAGGATTGCTATCCTTTCTGATCATTTGATTTTGGGTCTAAGAGAATTTCTGTAGGCTTGAGGATTATCTATGGCAACAGGAACCACAAAGCACTGATGTTGCCTTGTAGTTAAGATGAAGCCTAAAGAACAAAAGTAAATCTCTTTAGCTTGGAATCCTGGTCCCATCACAGTCTTCCTGCTACTACTCCATCATGACCATTGGAATTTGCAGAATCTTCTTTCTCTTTAAAACAGCTGAGTACTCAATCCCCTCTCTCCCTCCCCCCCCCAGCCCTCTGTGTGTGGGGGGGGCATAGCAATGTTGTCAGAGCAATTTGCAAGAGTCGTTTCTCTCGTTCTACCATGTGGGTCTGGGAATTGAACTCAGGCCGGTGGGCTTGGTGCTAGGCGCCTTACCCAGCAGAGTCATCTCTCTGGATCCTCCCCTTTTCTGTGTCTGACCAAAAGTTCAGTAGAATACTTCCTCTCTGCTCCCTAACAATTGCATTTCATGGGGTGCATGGAAAGCTGCAGTTTTCTGAGATTTAAAGCAGAAGGCTCCTTAGTAAGCACACACCATTTGTGATCAGTTTTCTTGAATGAACACAGAGTTAGATCAGAAGACTGCACCAGTGGCGATGGCTGAGGTACACCTGAAACAGAGGTTGGTGACCTAAATGGGACTGTGGCAAGGGAACTGAATTGGGTGAAACCTTATAGCGGGCAAAGGGAGGATGCATTCATCATCCGAGTACCTCACTGCGGGTGCTGCCCAGCTGCTCTGTTCCCCTTCTTTGTCTTACCTCATCAAAGCTTATGCCTGTCCATCAGAGCCTCACTAGCTACCGTATTTCTTTGGTGGTGTACAAATCCCCAGTAGGGGTTCTGGAAGAAAAGCATTTTCTGTGGAGCTGTCAAGTCTGTGTATGATAAATCCCTGCTGTGAAAGGAATATTTATGCTTGCCACTTCCATTTTAATTATAAAAAGGATAGAGATGTTTATGAAAATAGGCAGTAGAAAAGAAAATTGAAATTTTAAGTTATTTTACTTCATTTCAGAAATGTACTTTGTTGTGTTTCCTCTGTTTAAAATCTTCTTGAAGTCTCTTAGTACTGAGGCAGTTTTGTTACTAAGAAATAATAACTGATATAAAAATTATTAGACTTCAGCATACAATGTTTACCTTAAGTGCACAAAAGAGGAATGATCCTTACCATAAAATGGAACACCTAAAAAATAAATACTAGTTTCTAGTTATAGGATCTGAATTTGTTCAGGAAGCAGATGGAAGGGGATGATGGGTCTGTGAGACCAAGGGCTTAGACCTCTAGGAGGATGCTGTAGGCAGAGCAGAGGTGAGGTGGATGGAGCTGAACAGCATCTGGGGGAGAGTCTGGAAGAATGACCAAGGAGGAAGAGGTCAAGAGAGACCAAAGCCCAGGACTTGGAAGATGTGACCAAGGGGTGGCTGTCTGGCATATGTCACTGGGACTCCAAAGACATAGCTGCTGAGAAATGAGCATTTGACTTGGAGATGTGGCATTTCTGCAGACTTCCAAAGAACAGTGTTGGTAGAACGAAGATAAACTAATGGAAGGTGGAAGGTGTCGTTGATAAGTAAGAACAAGCCTCTGTGTTTTTTAGTTTAGTTTTTCAAGTAAAGGAGGCTTTGGTTACCTGCATAGACCTCCACAAGATCAGGCTAGTGAAAAATTCCACCAGAGGGCAGCTATCCTCCCCTAGCTGAGGAACATTGGTGATTGATGACTGATGGGGAAAGGAAAGGCATTTTTCTTTGGGAGGTGGCTACTGGTAATTTGTGCCCTAGGATATGGCCCTACATGCCTGCACATATGAGCTAATTAGACTCAATGGGTTAAAAGAAGTCATGTAACTGGGAGGGAGACATATTGGGTGGCTCAGGGGGTTGGAAGGAAGAAGTGAGGTGTGGGTATGGTCAAGACACATTGTTCATATGTATGAAAAATTTAAAGGATTAAAACTAAATATCAAAAATAAATAAAGAGAAAGCAAGAAAATGCCTGGAAGAAAAGTGATATTTTGATTCGAATTGATCATTTTTGCATGAGGCATGGTATCTGCACTCATGAACTCATAGATCTAGGGTTTCTCACACAAGACAATTTCATCATGGGTGGCATAAGAACTCATGAAGCCTCATCCCTCCCAAATTATCTAGAGGCAGTTAATGTTTGGTGGAAGTGATATCCCTTAGTACTATAGCCAGTGGCAAGCTGCCCCAGCTTCAGTAAATCAGGCATTACCTAGGCTGAAGAGAAACCCTAATTAAATTCAGTTGATTCCCCAAAGGACAAGAATGTAGAAGAGGGGGTTTATGGGAAGAAGGGAGAGGAAGGGAGTGGAGAGGGGGTATTGAGGTTTGTGTGCTGCGATATTATGTATGAGCAAGGAGGATAGTAGAAGAATAAATGAATATTTTAAGATGAAAACTTAACTAAGAATATCATTCTTAGCTACTTGAAAGAGGGTAGTCAACAAGTGTATTCTGATTAAGAACACTGTTTGTGCAATGAATCCCTTAGTCTGGATGTAACTGCTACAGGAAAATCTATGTTCACTCTCACCTACCACCAATATGTAACCAGAGCAGGGCACACAAGAGACACTCCCCTCTCCCTGGAGTCCCCCAGCAGAAAGGCTTTTATGTCCACTTGTCCACAAGAGTCCATGCATCTTCCTTTGAGAAGAAGGCTTTCCTTTTGTTTTTAAGAGTTGAGACTCGATGTTTATATGTTGGCACCGTGGCTCCAATTTCTTGTTTTTAACATGCCCCCTCTCATGTTGAACACTGGGACAATATGACCTCGGAAGTGACTGAGTGAAGCTGCCTTCTAGGGCAAGACTCATGAGTCATCCTAATGGACTATTTAGTCTATATGTCACTGCGGGGGACTCTGCACTATGAGCAAGTGTCTATGCATGGCCACCCCCTTTATCTGCTTCATTGTTCTCTTCCCTGAACAGCTCTGTGTCAACCTGACCAACGAGAAGATGCACCACTATATCCAAGAAGTGCTTTTCCTACAAGAGCAAGCAGAGTGTGTACAAGAAGGAGTTGCCATGGAAACTGCCTATTCTCCTGGTAACCAGACTGGAGTTTTGGATTTCTTCTTCCAGGTACTTACATAACATAATTAGATACCTCACAGGATGTGTGCATTAAGCTGCACTGGATAGAGAGAATTTTCTTTCCAAAGGTCTTGTTTGTAAGGTCTCCTTATATATGAGGGTCTGCAATGCCTTTATAGTCCCCCAGTAGTCTTTTGAGGAGCACACATTACCTTTGCCTGAAGGGACAGCAGAAAACTCATCACTTCCCACAAAGCCAAGAACTGTCCAAGCTTGATGGTACAATGATACTCACCCCTTTACTCATTAAACCTAAAAGTCTTTTCTGGAAAGCTACAAGAGGCCTATGTACAGAATGAATTTCATAAGCTAACGTATGAGGTCAAAGATACCATGAAATATGTCACATGTTTTGTATTGGTCTTCAAAGGTTCTGAAATTTAAATTTTGAAAGGTTGGCAGGAAAAGTATGTACACAAAATAACCTTTGGGCGGCTGGAGAGATGGCTCAGAGGTTAAGAGCACTGGCTGCTCTTCCAGAAATCTTGAGTTCAATTCCCAGCAACAATATGGTGGCTCACAATCATCTATAATCAGACCTGGTGCCTTCTTCTGGCATCTAGGCCTTCAGGCCAGAACATTGTATGCATAATAAATAAATCTTAAAAAAACAAAACAAACAAAAACAAAATAACCTTTGGTTAAGTTAATTTGTGGTTAAAATTAAGCCTGAGGTCATCAGCACGTGTTTATAGTCATACTTGTTTTATCTCTGCATAAGGTGAAAAACTTCTGACTCAATATCTCTGTTATATAAGTAAAGTTCTGTTATGTGAGACAGCAAGATGACTCAGTGGAAAAAAGGTGCTCATCGCTAAGGCTAATGACCTAGATTATGATCCTGGACAGACTTGGTGGAAGGGGACAGCCAGCTCCTTCGAGTTTCCCTGAGACTTTCACATGAATACCCTGGCATGTAAACATGTGCAAATGCTCACACACACACACATACTCACGCACACACGCATACATGCACACATACACAGTGGGGGCATAATAAAAGTGTGATAAATTGTTTTATTAAGCATATGAATAGCAGCTTCTGTTTACGTGCCTCTATGCCTCTAAATGCTTGAGAGCGTTTCAAACAGACGCCATTTGGGTATTTAAAAAGTTCAGGCTTTCACTGTCTACTTTCTGTCTGTACAAAAGTAGATTTCTCTATTTTTTATCATGTGTGTTTTCCTAACATTGTAGCCTGTTCTTTATTCCTGCTACCAAATTGTCTGGGTAAGAGTGGTATCGGAGAGACCAAAGGTGGCAGAGCCATCATGCAGCAATGGGCAAGACACTCATGATCTGAGTAGCTATGTGACTATAATAGGATTAGAAGGCATGCATCTAGGGTACCAAGTGGAGCAATAGAAGCAAACTTCTGACTTTCCCTGACTTCCAGAAACCATCAGGATTCTTCTCCCTATTGGATGAGGAGAGCCAAGTGATTTGGTCAGTGGAGCCAAACCTGCCCAGAAAGCTACAGAGTCTCCTGGAATCATCAAATACAAACACAGTGTATTCCCCTATAAAGGATGGCAATGGGAATGTCGCTTTCAAAGGCCAAGGCCCAGCCTTCACTGTCATGCACTACGCAGGAAGGGTGAGTAGAAGGACTTCATGGTGTGCCCTGTGTGCTGATGTAACATGTGATGTGCCCTGTGTACCCATGTAACATGTGGTGTGCCCTGTGTACCCATGTATCATGTGATGTACCCTGTATACCTATGTACCACATGATGTGCCCTGTGTGCTGATGCACAGGAGGTTTGTAAGCTTTAGAGCACAGGGTTTGAGGATATGCTATTAGACACTCAAAAGCCACATAAACAGCCCATAGTCACTACCTTTTGCAAGCCTTTGATTCGAGGCTGGGTTGACACCTCAGAACAGTGTGTGCTTAGCAGGGTAACTATCTCACTATGTATATAGGCTTTCATTAATACGAACAGAGCACCAGGAGCAGCATAAATAGCTCTGTTCCACACTTGGGGACATCTTTCTTATATATCCTCAAATTTTGGGCTTCTGAGTGTGCTTGGCCTGAATGTGGGCTTAATATTAAAGTATTTTTTAGAGCCCAAGAAATCACATCCTCTGGCCTCTCCCAGCATTCTAGTTGGGTTTGTAAAACTGGTTTCTTACTTTGGAGTCCAACCCCTGCCCGGAGTGGTGCCCCCCCACACACACACACACTCCTTTGTCATCTCGTGTTAGAATGCCACTGCATCTTTGACATGTGATTTACCTGTTGTCACTCCCTCATGCAAGTATTCTCTTTAGGCCATGTGTTCTAATCCTCTCAGTTTTCCTGAGTCCATCTCACTGCCATAAACTCCTTCCCAGAAAGACCTGAAATATCCTTCCAGTGTATTTAACAGCACATTCAATCATGTCTTAATAAAATCATCTCTATTTTTCTATAACCAACTCTTGTTTATTATTGATGTCTTCCATTTTGAATTACACACACACACACACACACACACACACACACACACACACACACACACACACCACTTAGTGAAAAGGAAGGACTGATGAAGTTCATCTCTTCCCTCGTTAACGAATACTCCACTGTCTGCCAGAAGAGGATGTGAGATGAGCCAGAAATATGCACACACCAAGCAGTCAGATGACAGAATGCAAAGGAACAGAAGTTAATATGCTGCTGCTACCAGCCTAATATTATGTAAAAAGCAGTTATTTAGCTGGGAAAAGCATAAAGACATTCTTTACAGGAGCTCACTAACTTTGAATGGACAGTATTCAGTGAAGTCCTGGACTCTGGAAATGTGTCTCACTGTAGTACACTAAACTCAGTTGCATAGATGGAATCCACTTTTACTGCAGGCAGAAAACAACTCAGGTTAGGAAAGAACTTTGACAGAGTCTAAGTTGAAATCTCCAGGCTGCTGTGTGCTACTGCACCTGCCAAATAGCATCAAGCACACCCTCACACTCAGTATCAAAGAAACAGGGACTGGACCCAGGGCTCATTACTGCCACAGCAAAGGGAAGCTTGCATGAGGTGGCCTTACCTGGCCAAATGTCAGAAAGCACAGAGGTGTAGCCTCCATTACTTCTGCCAGGACAGTAGTGTTGGACAGGTGGAAGGCAGAGAACAGCAAACTCAGTGGCGCAAAGCAGTCTGAGAGAGCTCCCTGTTCTTCAGCATCTGCAATTGGGGGAGGCAGTAAGGGTAACTGGGCAGGTAGCCCCCATGTACACCCACTAGTTTGGGAAAGGTTGCAGGTTTCATTGAATGTGGAAAGAGTGTCAGGTGAAGCATCTATTGGTGTTGGCTGATCCACGGATAATTGTGTGTACCTGCTGATGGCTTCACCCTCTCGAGAAGATGAGGCAGTGATAAGTGAGGAAGTGGTATGAGATAGACTGGGGGAAAGGCCAAGCAGGCTTTTTGCTGACTAGCCAGCATCCACATTTGTATAGTAGCAAGGAATAAGGATGCGGCATTCGTGGGAAGAGGCAGGGAGGAAGTCATAGCAGGGTGCTCAAAGCCATGGGTCAGAGCCCAGCAGTACTCCACAGTCCTCCTATAGCTGAGAAAGGGAGAGTGCAGTATGTCAGCCCAAGACACATGCTCCCAGAGAAAAGAGAAGCAGAAATGTTCAGGCTCAGATATTCTGAACCAGCAGCATGAAGTTTAATGCAATCCCTAATTGGATAGTGGGATGAAACAAACCCATGTTTAGAAATGTGAATTTTGACTGACGATCCAACCTTAGAATCACATGGAGAAAACAGCTGTGAACAAGAGAAAACTCTGGGAAGCCCAGAAAGGAGGATAGAGCTCACCTGTTGAGGTGTCAGTTAGGGCTAAGATGGCCCCCATGAGAAGTGGACTGATGTCATTAGATAGAAATTGATGGAAGATTCTGTATCTTGATCTCTGAACAGTTACTAGTTTTAACTTCTTCTTGGCTTTTTCAAAGTCCTTACAATTAGGGGAATGCTCTGGTGTTGTCTCTAGATTTTTTTAAGTCCTGCATTTATATTATACATTTTCTGAATTGCAGGAAGAAAATGCACAATGCTATATAGTCAGGTATCATGATGTCTTATAGTTTAGGAAATTATTTTCTCAACCCTTCTAGCAGCTCTATTAGGCATATATTTGAACGTCCTTATTTGTAAGTCTGTTGTACTGTGCCATAAAGACAAAGCAGTCCCATAAAAAGTGCTGACTACGTGAAAACTCAGCAATAGTGTGGTTTGGAATTGTAGCTTGATTATTTTGAGTTCAGTTGTAAATATTTTTCTGAGCACCTAATAGCATTTCAATTTTAATTTTTTTTTTGAAACTTTAAGGGAAAACAGCCAGCAGTTTAATTTAATGGGGAATTATTCACCAAGTTCTTAGAGAAATTAAAGAACACAGGGACAGCTCAATGGTTAGTTGGTACAGAGCCAAAGCCCCTGTGGAACCATGCATTTTTCCTTTAAAAGCGTTTTGTTTTTTAAGGGAGTTTTCCATAATTGGAGTCGATTTTGTGGCTTTACGGAAATCTTTCATTTCGGTGAGATGTACTAATGAGTTGTAGCCAAAGGACTCCCCAAGGACTCATTCACACGCTACAGTGTAGATTCTATGTGATTTGCAGCAATATGTCAGCCCATATGCCTTTCGAATTGTCAGATGTAGACACATGCACTTGTGTGTTGATCTGTTGCATCAGAAAACAAAAGGGACACTCTACATTTTGTCAGTTAAGAGATATGGGAAAGGTTCGCCCACCTAAAAGCAGCTTGTATGTGTCCATGACCTTTGACCCCAGTATTTCCTCACTAGGAGAGAGTTCAATGAACCCAACCCATGTACTCTTGAGCCTCTTATTGAGCAGGTGGACAGTGGAAAACGCCTTTCATCACTCTGCTACTTCCTGCTGTGCTTACTTGCTGTGTTAGTAAGAATATGCTACACCCTGTGTAGCTGTTACTACCAACATTGTTCCCCTGTTCCTGCCAGGATGGGCGCAGGGTGGACTTACCTAAGCAGACAACTCTAAAGACAAACCTTCACACCTCTTCAGAAGCTTGTTTGAGGAGGAAGCTTGTTTGAGGCGGAAGCTCGGAGGTCCTTTTAGAAATGTTTAAGCACCATTATCTGAATTACATCTGAAGATCCTTCCTAAACACATCTGAATGTTTCATTACCCCTAGGAGCATGGTGCAGCTTCCAGTCTCCATTACAGGCATATTTTAAAGTGAACAGGGAGAGGCTGTGCATGAAATATTAACATGATCTCATTAATGAGCATACGTTTGAATTAAAGAAGGCTTTAGGGGCTTGGGGCTTGGCTTCTTTTTGTTTATTTTGTTTTAGTCAATTTTAAATCATACCCGAAGTTACCTGTCTTAGGGCTTGCTCTTAACCTGGTGATTTAAATGACAGATAAGCATTAAAGCCGCAAGTGAGTCTGAGTTTATTGGCTGTTAAAATTAAGGATCTTGAAGGAGAGAAGAATTACAGCTTGACAGTTTTGGCTTCTAGGAGAGCCAGATTTCCATTAAGATGACTATAAACTAACTATTGTTGGAAATCATGCTTTAAAGACCCTAAATTTTGATGTGAGAAAATTGAGGGGATCATGGAGTTGTAGTGATCCGAGTCTAAGAGTAATGATTGAATTAATGAAATTTAAGTAAAAATTCAGTTGTGAAATACACATTCTCTTGCATGCAAGAGCCTTGCTCAGAAGAGGTCTTAGTGTGTGTCTCTGTAGATGCAAGATAAGATCATCTGAGATTGGGCAATGGTAGTGTGCAGAGAGGGGTGCAGAGTCATGTGACCCCAAACTGCCATGGTTAGAGTGATACAGGTCATGAGCAAGTAAAATTCAATCATTCCTAGATGAGGGTGGCAGGCTCAGCCTGAGCTCCAGCCACCTTCTCTCTTCATGGGAAGAGAGACTCCTGTCATTTCCAGTCACGAGGTCCACATTTGTTGTTGCAGCAGCAGCCTGGGAAGAGAATTCAAAAATCATGTTTTCATATGAGTTTACACACAAGAAAAGGAAGCACATTAACAAGTAACTTTGTAGAGTTTCTTTCTGACCCTTGCTCTATCTTTAGCTGATTCCTGCATGGTGAGAACTCTGTCTCCAGTGGGTTCTCTAACTTGGAAATCCCATGGCCTCTGTCCTAGATCTGGGCTATCTCTCTGAATACTGTGTTCCTGACTTAATCTATACTACTTTCAACTTGCTATTTGATCAGTCATCAGTTGTGCCTGACACTTGCACGTGACCACATCCTTGTGTATAAACAGTTCTGTGTTGGCTTTCTCTAAGCAATCCTTTGGTGAAGGTCGGTGATTCATCAAGATCTTACACTTACTGGTGAAGTTATAGCTGTTGCTACAGAAGACCAGAAACTGGGTGGTTTCACCCTGCAGGAATATATCTTTCCAGTAATGGAAAATAGAAAGTTCAAATTCTGGTATCTGCAGGTTCTTCTGAAACAGGATGTAGTCAGTCCCTGATGCGGGAATGTATTATCCCAACCCCGACACTCTGTGTGTCACATGTTATTTCCTTTTCCATTAGCATTTTAGGTCTACCCTCATATAATATGGCTCTT